GATTGTCTATATTTTGTTTTGGCAGATGTAGTGTGTGTGTGTGTGTGTGTGTGTGTGTGTGTGTGAAGATGTCGCTGATCTCAAACTGTACCAATCGCTTCGAAGAATAAGTAATATAAATATAATATGTAAATCGGAAAAGAAGAATCGGGCAGCAGTGGAAAACTTCATGGCATCAGAAAATGTTTGTAAGGAATAATGATAAATATGAAAATTGAAGTGATTTATTTATTATCTATGTTAGGAGGGGTTCTGTAAGGGAGGGGTTGGAAGGAGGAGGCGGCTGACCCGGGGCGGCGGTAGAGCGTGTGCGGCGCCACGTCCTGCGGGAACAGCTCCTTGTGGTGCAGGATGATGCGCTTCACCAGCTCGTTGACCAGGTTCTGCGCCGTCACCTGCGCGCCGCCCTCGCCCCACGCGGCCAGCAGCGTGGGCCCCAGGCAGATGGCCAGGTTCCACGCGTCCATCATGTTGTGCTCGCTGTGCTCGGCCAGACTGCAAGAGACGGGGGCAGAGGTGAGATGGCGCGGGGTGGGCGCGGTGTGGGCGCGGTGTGGGCGCGGGGTGGGCGCGGCGGGCGGCACTCACTGGGCGAGGAAGGCGAACAGGTAGCGCAGCAGCAGCAGCGAGGGCAGGGGCAGGTGGGCGAGCGCGGCGCGCAGCCGGCGCACGAAGGCGGGGTCGTCGGGCGCGGCGGCGAGCGCCAGCAGGCGGTCGTGCAGCGCGGCGGGCAGCAGCGGGGGGCGCAGCGAGCGCAGGTACAACTTGAGCAGGCCGCACACCGAGTTGATGTCGGAGGCGTCGCGCACGCCGGCCAGCGGGTCGCCGCCGCGCTCGAAGGCCGCCCGCAGCGCCGCCATCTCCACCTGCGAGCCCGACACGCGGAACACGCCCTGGTGCCGCAGACCTGCGCCACACGCACGCCTCCTTATTCTCCAAACTTGCACACCTTGACCCTTTAAGGGCTCAAACTTGATCTAATTTTTTACATTATCGCAAGTCTCTAATAATTGCATCAGACTGGTGGTGTGCGAGGGTGGTGCGGGGGTGGTGCGGGGTGGTGCGGGGGTGGTGCGGGGGCGCGTACCGTAGGTGGCGATGACGCGCACGCAGGAGGTGAGCACGGGCGGCAGGGAGTCGTGCAGCGGCGCGGCGAAGAGGCCCCGCTGCCGGCGCGGCGGGG